AGAGCATAGCAAGGGGTCTATCTTACTTACTTGAAGGGGAAGGAGAATTACCGATTAAACGAACTGGACTCGTTTGGATTGGTAACTTTGCACGGTCCTGGTTCCGAGATGTACTCTACACCAACCAGGATATCTTCAATTCTACGCGGCGAGCGACTCATCTTGACAACTTCTTCCTAGACGTTGCTACCCGAATTTCATCTGAGTCAGTTCCTAGTCTATATTCGTATCACGTTACTGACTGAGACTGACAGTCTACGAACGGCCCATCACCAAGCCAAGAGACCAGGTGCGGTCGTTATCGAGGGAACTCCCTTGAAAGAGATTGCGTACGTTCACATCAAGTGGGGATGGGTTTCTTTCCTTGCCATCGAGGTTGTAGCGGCGACACTGTTCCTCATCATGGTCATTGCCACCCAGAGTGTGGCGTCTCGGCAACAAGGAACGAAAGATGTCTACGTCCCAGCCGATGTCAAGGACTCGGCTCTGGCAAATCTTGTTGTTCTCAGCAACGATTGCCGCGAAGCCTTGAGCCCTGGTCTACAGACGGCAGATGATCTCCAGAAGACTTCAAAGAAACTACAAGTCACACTACGGGGGAACGAGATTGTGATTGCCGCGGACCCGGAAGTACAATCTTCTCATGCAAGCAAAGAAAATCCTCAAGAGGCAGACGCAGAAGAGCACAGTCTTCCCAAGAACCGTCCCTTTGGTCGTATTCTCACGAGTATACGGGCGTGGTGAGGAGGGCAAGATACATCGAGAACGGTGGGAAGAAGGAAAGAGGAAGTGTCAGCCAAGGTAACGGCAATGAAGATAGGACTAGTTCTGACGAGCTGTTCAACTAGATGTCCGTAGCGTTGTAGTCTTGTCATAAATGTGCAGGCAGGGCTGTCTGACTGCAGGCCTTCTTTGGGTATGGAAGATAGGCTTACTCACACGACAGCAATGTCGGAGTGATCTTTAAGTAGATCCACATTCGCTTCTTATCACTGAACGACTTTGTTGAATAATATCAATTGGGTATTTGCAATCATCTATGCATATATCTTAGACCCGCCTTTTCGCCTAGTGCCCATATGCAATGCTCTAGCTCCTGATGCCCCTTGGTATGTAATACGCCGTAAATCCAAACCAACCTCGTACTCAACACTCTTGAAGGTCACCGCAGCTTTCTCGGTGATCGTCGCAGACCCAGCTCCTGTAACTCCTCTCTGGAAAGAATGATGCTCTCCTCTCTATCCTCTTCAATATCCCCCATCAGCTGTGACTCGGCTATCCAGCCGGCTTCAACCGCGAACCTCACAACCTCGGCAGAAGTCCCAAATGCCGGCGTTCCAGCCTTGGCATCGGGATCGAGGTATTTCCATAGCTCTTTCGTGACCTTTTTGAATGCTGTGAGGTCCTTCTTATCGCCCTGGAACCCCTTGATCATGTACTGGTAGAGATATGCCAGCCACAAGACGTTGGTGTACGGCACAAATACGTCCCATGATAGAGGCTCGCCATCTACCCCCTTGCAGTAAGGTAATTTGTGGGCGGACGGTGGCAGATGCCCACGCTCGCCACGTATAAGAAAGGATCGCATTTGGCGGTAAACCTTGCATTGTGGGGCGTGGGTGCTGGTGAAGATGCTGAGGTCCTTCTCGAGGTCGAGCGCAATAGGCTGAGATTCCTCCAATTCGAGGTCCTCGGCACGGGAGAGGCCATAGTCAAGGATCGTAATATCAAGGCCAGAGTAGCCAAAGTACGGCCCTGCTTTCTTCGGATTCCGCGTTTGTGGGTCTTCTGATCTCCGTATGCAAAGGTTGCCCTCATGCAGATCGCGGTGCTGATCTTGTTAGCTCACGGCTCCCTGCCAGTCGCTTCAATGACGTGTCAACATACCTCAAAGCAAGCCAGATCTTCCGCCCTAGCCAGTGCAATGGCTACATGGAAGAAGATATCCCACAGCTGACTGGAGTCTGTGAGTTCGAAGTCCTCGAGCGCGGTTCCTGCATCACCAAGCTCTACCACCAAGAAGGTGGTCTCGTCAAGATAGCGACTCGGGCTTGGGTAGAACTGCAGCCTATCCGGGTCCTTACGCTTCATCTTCCGATGAAAGCTTTGGTGTGTTTCAAGCAAGCATTTTGGAGCCTTTCCTTTCACAAGGTAGCGCTCCTTGTAAATGACGAAACCGGGAATATTGGCGAGCCACTCGGATATGCTTAGTTCACCACGCATATCGTCTTCTGAGTGCGGCTCTTCGTCAACGAGTCCAGAGCGCTCCTGGGTCTTTGTTTGCGCCTTGATGGGCGACTCGAGACGGATGCATTTTATGATGCTTGTGCCACGCTCATTTCGAACACGGTAAACTTCTGCATAGGAAGCCTCGGCGATCTTTTCGATTGTGTCTCCGGGTGGGCATACATCCTCCCAAGTAAGAATGCGATAGTCAGGCTGTGGCTCTACTGGCACTTCGGGGACTTTGATTTTGGGCGTTTCAGCCTTTGATACGGGTGTAGGAAGTGACCCTTTGGCTATCCGTCTCGTGGTTTTCGCGGTCCTTGGGGTTTGTTTTACCGCCCTTGGGGGAGTTTCCGGTTTTTGTGGTGTTGGTGGAGATGCCACAACAATTTCGCTGAAGTCTTTTGATAGCTCATCTTCCGAGGAATAGGAATCCAAATTGATCCCAAGGGCGTCCAGATCCTCGGTAATCTTGATGATAGAGTCATCTTCGGAGTCCAGCGTGACTGTCGCATTGGGTTTCCGAATCGGGGTTTGTGGAAGTTCAGCAAACAGACGCCTTACTTTTGCCTTTGTTGAGGTCTTGCCGTAAGTACGAGCTGCTGTTGTTCGCACCATCTTGTCTTCTTCTTCTTGAGTCCATACGGGGTTGATTTGTTGACTTGAGTGCTCCTGCTTTTGACGCTTTATTGCATGATGTCGCCATGACTGACGTTGGCAACTATTGACATTCCAGACGCGTCGTCCAGACAACCAGAGCTTGAACGGAAGATACGTTGTCCCGGAGCCGCTAAAGGCCCTCGGGCCGGGCACGAGACACTGAACCCACGCTGCTGGGTTCTACGACGGTCGACCGCATTCAGATGAATAAGTGGAGAAACGTCACTGTGCCCCAGCTTCCAGGAAAGCGATGTGACTGGCTAACGACAGCTTGACGACTGGCCTAATTTCGCCTTCTGGTTGGCGATACCTCCTCACAAGTACGCAGCTTCACTGTCTGCAGTCTTGGATCTCGACACCACCGCAGCCAGCCAGCCATCCCTCCTCCGACCGCAACCATGGCCGCCATCCTCAACGGCCTCTTTGGAGGCTCCAAGCCCTCTGCATCCCCAATTCCTAGCGGTGATTCAGGTATGCTACTCTCGAGACTCAATTCCCCTGCCCCCTAAATCACCCCCCGTGCTGTCAAAGCTTCCAGTTTCCCCTCAGCACCCACAAAATCCACAACCTCATTAGACTGACGCAATCATCTCTCGCGTATAGACTTTGCAGACTTCGCCGGAGCTGCTGATCCGTCGCCGGTTCCCAGCGCCTTCACGGCTGCCCCTGGCGGCACAACGCTCGGTGGCGCGCCCGAGGCCACGGGACGTCCCTTCACGAAGTGGTACAACATCCACGAGCGCCACTCCCTCAGCGAGTTCAAGCTCGAGGGCGCCATCCTCGCCGTCAGCGCCGTCATCTTCCTCCTGCACATCATTGGATCGCGCCTCAACCGCAAGAAGGCCAAGTCCTGGGCCACTGCCCACGCGCCGGTGCTCAAGTCCGAGTTCGCTTCCGTCGGCTTCTCCCCGCGTTCTACGACCGACACCGACCCCAAGGACTCTACGGGTCTGCTGCGCGAGAAGTCTCTCTTTGAGTTTGCCAGCTACGGAACCGGTCGCCAGAATGTCGCCTTCATGGACGTCAAGTTGACGCTGACCAAGCGCTTCAACCCGTTCCTCAGCATCATCGAGGCCGTCACCAGCTTCTTCATGGATACCGTTGAGGCCCCCCACGACTCCGTCGAAGCTGTCATCTACCCTTTTGACGGCAAGGAGAGCCTCACTGTTCCCGCGATCCCCGGCACCCACGAGCTGCGCAGCAAGGAGAACAAGAGCACGTACGATAACTTTGTCTGGGCCATCGTCTCCAAGGAGCGCATGAAGCAGGTTCGCGACGATCGCTACGATGTCTCCATTACCTTCACCAAGGACAATGCCAAGCTTCCCAACTGGGTTACTGTCATGAGCGAGAGCGCCGAGATCACCGAGCAGCTGTTGACCCCTGAGCTCATCAAGGCCGTTGAGGCTGCCGGCGACGCGTTTGACTACCTTATCGTCTCTGATCAACCCATTGAGCGCCCCAGCACGTGAGTTTCAACCGCAATCTGTGATTCATGTTCATTCCTAACAGTGCAATAGCATCGAGGAGACCACCCCCCGCAAGCGCGTCTTCCTCCGCTACCGCATCCCCTCAAGCAACAACTACGAATCCCTGTTGCCCCTCTTCGAATACTTTGTCCGCATCCCCGACGCCCTCGTCTCGGGTGCGCACTTCCGCCCCGAGGTCCTGCGCAAGGTCCGCAGCGTGCGCGAGGAGACCATCGCCCAGCTCAAGAAGGCTGCCGAGGCTGAGAAGGCCGAGGAGCGCACCCTCGAGCGCGAGAAGCAGAAGAAGGCTAAGCGCGACGCTGAGCTCAGCGCTCTGGACGCCAAGGCTCAGAAGAAGTACCTCGAGAGGGAGCGTGAGCGCGACCTCAAGAAGAGCATGAAGAAGCAGACCATGCGCGGTTAAAGCAGTGTTTGAAATGCTTTCCTTGGTGGAAGCTCTTAAAAAGTTGCTACCCTTCATCAATGTCTTTTAAACCTAGAGGGAAAAAAGGCCGAGGCCGGTCTAAGGGGTTCAAGGAGGGGTCGGCGGTGTCAATATTACAATCTACGAAGGCTGAGATGTATACATGTACTATCATGAAAGGCGGCGGCGGCGGCGGCGGCGGGGTAAATCAAATAGTATATCTCGTGTCAAATCATAACCTAATAAGCTGTCAACCTTTCTGTCTCGTGTTTGCACCGCGACCCATCTCATACCACCAACACATCTGTTTCAAAGACAAGGACATTTACTTGTCTTGCGCCAGGATGCCCTCCACCCGCGCCACCTTGTCGGCGGCAGACTGCTTCTTGTCCGTTCTGCGCAAAGGAGAATAACCATCATCAGTCACTCAAAACATTTATCCATACAACGACTTTGCGTTCTTTGTCGTGTGAAGTAAAAATTCATTTCAGGTAGACAAACCTCGAGCCGACGCGCATCGAAGACTGGATCCGCACGACGCCGCTCTGGTGGACGAGAGAGTGCGCTTGTCCGATGACGCGGAAGACGTCGTCCCAGCTTCCTTCTGCGGAGGAGGAACGGATGTGTATGTCAGCAGTGTTCTATGCATTCCATGCCAAAGCAGAGGTGGGGGTGACAAATCTCATGAGCTTCAACGCTCTCCCGCAAACGTGATGGTTGAAAGCCAAGGGGAGAGTGCGTATGAAAGGACTTTACAAGGTAGAGTCGAGAAAACGTACCGACAGTCGTACCGGCCGAGTGCATGGTGTACTTTAGCCCGCTCGCCTCGAGCAGGCGCTGGACCTGGGCGACCTCGTTGGCGACGGAGACGCTGCCGGTGCCGACGGGGATGAGGCAGAAGTCTGCGTAGGCGGCTTCGGGGGTGGGGATGTTGGAGTAGTCTTCGCTTGACATTTTCGCTCGTTGTTGTGTGGTAAGGGGTTGTGTGTGTGAGAGAGAGACAATGTATGTGAGTGAGTTGAAGTTTCGGTGATGTTGGGTTTGAGTGAGTGGTATGTGGTGGGGTTAGATTTGCGCGACTTCGGCTTTAGGTTACTGAGGTTGTGGCGTGTTGAGGGTCGAGAGCTGTGAGGTCGAGTTTTGGGTGAAGGGTGAGGCTCGACTTTCGTACAAAGTCTGAATTCAGGAAACGAGAGGTACTGCCATATGTATTATGCAAAATCTCACGGATAAACCGTAGACTTACTAGACAAGTTCATATGTTGTTGACTTTGAGATGCCGTCGTCATGCAGAGTACCTGTCCCAATGATGCAATGAGGGGTGGGGGTGGTCCGTTCCTAACTGTATACGAGGGGTCCTTGCTACCTTCCTAATGAGTTTTCCCTCCTCATCACGTATAAGCCGACAACCTTAACTCATTCTCATTCTCACTCATTCAGAACACTGGCCATTTGTGATTTGTGTCATGAAGTTGGTTTTCATATTGATCTGAGCATGATCTCACTCAATGCCCGGTATCTATCTACCTCGCTGATCCAATCCAGATCAGTGGTGATGCCCTATGTCCCAAAGGGCTCTCTTCCAAACAAAACTCGCGGGGGTCCCGTTTTCCCCGGGTTGTACATGAACAAAAGCTGTGAAAGAAAAACAAGAAAGAGTCGTTTCTGCCGATGATTTCGGCTCATGATTGAACGCCGTCGCTATGCATCTTTTTGTTGGAAACAAAGAAGGGAAAAAAAGAGGTAAAAGAGAGAAAAAAACAGGAGGGGGAATCATAGTGTTCATCCGAGAAATGTCCCTTTGAGCGTACACACACAGACACTCTTTTTCATGAGGTTGTCGCATGAGTAGTGTCACATCCTTCTTTGGCTCGGACCCTGAGAGACCGGACTTTCAGAAACAGACGACCCCCTTAAAACAAGAACACGGCGGCAGCGAGGAACGCGACGAGCGCGCCAGTCTCCATACCACCGGGTGCTCTACCAGCAGACTTGCCGCTGCTCGAGCTCGCGGTGGCGCTGTTACTGCTGCTGCGGCCCGAGATGTCGAACGAAGACAGCCCGTTGAGGTTATCGGCGGCGTCAATGGCCGGGCCCTTGTTGAAGAAGTCCACCAAGATGAAGACGGGCTTGGTGCCCCACTGGTTCTTGCACGTCTGCGCGTGGAGGCCGAGGTTGCCCGCCGTGCTGGTGGAGGCCGAGTTGGTCGTGTCAATGTCGCTGACGTCCGGGATGAGGATGTCGGTGGCGAGGGTCTGGTATTGGAAGTGGTTCATAAGGGGCAGCATGTTGGCCGTGACGGCGGCGGCGGCGGTGGAGTAGGTCGAGGGCCGGTCGATCGTGCAGTTGAAGCCGGCGGCGGAGGTGACCTCGTAGGCCGTCTCGAAGACGTAGGAAAATTCCGGGAGGAGGTAGGGGTAGTCCGTGTCGGCGGTGATGGAGGCGACGAAGGTGACGAGGCGGGTGTCTGCGTCGATCATGGTCTGGAGGGTGGGCCAGCTCGAGGTCGCGGAGGAGGTGGAGGGCTTGTAGCCGTACTTGGAGATGCCCGAGGACTCAAAGACTTTTCCAAAGGCGGAGGCGGCCTGGTTGTCCGAGTTGACGAGGAGGATGGTGACGACGTCGTCGGTGTGCTTGTCCATCCAGTCCTTGATGGCGGAGAGCCAGTTCTCGAGGGTGCCGGCGTCGAGCAGACTGCAGGTGGTATGGCAGAGCTGGAGGACGCTGCCCGAGGTGCCGTTGACGAGGTGGACCTGGGCCTGGAGCAGACGCAGACCCGAGTTGAGGGCGACGGTGGCGTTGTAGTACTGGTTGCCGGCGATGGAGTTTGAGGTGCTGGCGTCGCGGAGGAAGGCGCTGTCGTGGGCGCCCATGTGGGTGATGTTGTTGTACTTGCGGCTGCAGAGGGATGGAGAGTTGTTGCAGACTGTTGAGTTTGAGGAGGTGGCGGCGAGGGAGGTTGTGTTTACGGTTGATTCTGTTGATGAGGATGAGTCTGAGGGGAGTGCGTAGACTGTTGCGGTTGAGGCGAGGAGGGCCGCGAAGGCCTTGCGGAGTGAGAAGACCATGTTGATCGTTGATGTGTTTGAGTGTGTATAATTTGTTGGTGTTGTCCGTGTAAGACTGAACCCAAAAACCTCGGATGCGGGAATCGACGAAAGCGGGAGATGGTCGACTAAATAAACGTCGAAAACAGTGATCGTCGGTTGAAGATCTTGCTCTGCAACTATGAGGAGGCTGGCTCAAGTCGCAAGAAAGCAGGAAAACCCGCGAGGTCGGAGTTGAAGCAGAGGATGAGAGAGATGTGACGGGAGGCAGTCGAAAAAGGCGGAGACTGGAGTAGCGAGGAGGTTGAGATGGGCAGGGCAACGAGAGACGGGATGTTACCGGACAAGGTAGGTTAAAGGTAGATCCAAGACAGGCAAAATCCTCGAGAGTCTGATGTAAGGCGAGGCAGAGGTAGCGTATTCGTAGTATCACTTGGTGTATTAGTAGTAAGCGTGGAGGTCAAAGGAGAGGACGGTGCCGGATCCCCAGTTCTTAATATGTTGGACACATGAAGGGAGGATCCTCGCAAGGCCAGGCCAAGGAGCAACTTTGGGATGTTTCCTTGTCCCCCATTCGGAATCCATACCTAGGTACGGATACCTGTCGCTTGTACCCATACCTTACGTAGCCCCGATGGGGCTGGAGAAATATCAGACAAGACCGAAGCTGAAGAAGGAGGTGCGGCATTCTGGCAGAGCGCCAGAGAGTCTGGGAGACTTGGACCCTGTTGGTTGCGCGGCCCCCAGTCCGTCCCCCGTTTCCCGGTGGGGCTCCGGGCGTGTGGGCGGGCTGCATGGCGGCATGGCGCAGTCGCGGTTGTACTCGTACTTTTTTTTTTCAGTTGCTCTTCACCCCCTTGTACCCAATGGAATAGTGAGTGTACATACGTGCATACGAGAATTGCAAGAGAAGGACGATGGAAACCACCGAGAAGAATCCAACACTAGCCACTGCGATTTTTAATTCACTTTGACTATGCTTGCGTCGCGTGTTTTCGAGTCTGGAATCACCATATCTGCCATGAACAACTGGTTTGCACCGCCAAATGTACACGTACATCTCACCTCTCAGACTTACACAGCCTCCCTCTCCGAATTGTGCATCAGGCCCAAGTCCGTCAGCAAAGACGTGCAGCAAGACTCAAAGGGGATGATGCGTGGTGTTTTACCCACCACCGAGCACATTTCACCATTGAACTCCCATTCCCTCATCCTCCCCCTCATCCCCTCACCTGGCTTCGCCAATAAGAGCCTTTCCCCCAGCAATGCCCGTTCCATGCAGACCCAGGCCGGAACTCTGTGAGTGTATGTCTCTCGGTACTGTACTTTGTACAAAGGAATGGGCGCGGCCTCATCCAGAGTGCTTTAGGTGCTTTAGCTGTTGCGTAGTAAGCCCGAGACGGAGCTAGGAATTAAGGTAGCGTGGGCCATCAGCGACCATTTCTCACTTACACCAGTGTCAAGAGGTGGTGTGCGTGCGTGTCGTGTCACCTTTACTTGTCACCATCTTTCCCACTCTGCTGGTTCCCGCCCACCCAACTAGTGTATTTCTTGGTGGTACAATTTAGAAGTTGAGGGCCTACCTTACTCCACGGACTTGAGACAAGTCCCAAGCCGAAGGAGAAAACAGAACGACAGAATGGACAGTCGCAATGGTCGCTCGAACGTCTCAGTCTCACACCTCCCAAACCTCTGGGGAAGGAGCCCCTGAGTTTGGCTCGGTCGAATGTTGGGGGGCCTCCCTTACCTCTCACACGCTCTCTGCGCTCTTGGAGCCACGTTATTCCCTCCAGGGCACGCCATCACCACGCTCAAAAGCATGGGAATGCATTGCGCGACAGAGTGAGCTGCGCAGTTGTAGTCGCAACCCGAGATCTTCTGCCCAATCGCACAAACCATCTTATCCCGTGCTTTACGCTGCTTACTGCTTAATTGCTTGATACTTTCTGCAAAAAACCACCCTGGTCCAGGACAGACTTCCCGTCCCTGTTCGCTTTCGGCGCCGTTGTACCGCCCGAAGACGATCCGTGTGTGAGAAGTTGAAAGATGGAAATGTTTCTCTGGGGCCCCAATGACGTATCTGCACCAGAGGAACGTTGGATTCTGTGAGGATCCGTTTTGATGGAGAACATGCAAGATGTACCCTCACGCTTTGTACAGACCTTCTGTACAGATACATCCGAACTCGCCAAGTAGACTGGATACTCGTGAGGTCGGTTCCCAAGTCAACCTCTTGTTTTATTTCCATCTTCATCCGCCATTCGAGTGATGTAAACAAATGAATATGCAACTCGCAACTCTCCTGCCACGGCCATTTCTGACTTGGAAAACCTGCAACGCGCGGGCTCCAGTATTATTCATGCGGTGTGCAGATCTCCCTGGCACACCCGCAGAATGGTTAACCTCGCAACCACAGACCGACAACAATACCTGGGCCAGAAAGCCGCATCGAAGAGTTGTTGCTGAGAAGGTTGACCAGAGGCTGGCTGGCTGACTCGTAGTGCATAGCAATTGCGGCTGACTCTGCATCTTCGTATCACCTCACCGGGCTTTGGCATGTCAACCGATTTGCTTCACACATGCCGTTCCGACAACCGAAACTACGACACACCCAAATGGGGGTTGTCCAGCCGCCCAGCCGAACATTTGTTGACTTTTCAAGGCGGGCTGATGCAAAAATTGGAGACTTTCGAGAACAAGAGCCCACCTCCAACTTTTTCTCTGCTGTTGATCACTCACCTATATTGGATGCCGGGAAAGCGAGTGGCTTGCACTCTAAAGATCTACACTTCCGTCTCCAGAGATTCCAGCGCCGCCACCACAAAAAAAGGTGTGGCTGTCCATCCGCCCAGCGAGACGGTTCGACTGGCCCAGAACCTCCAGCGGATTCTCCAGCGTTGTTCCAAGAAAAGAATTCCCCAAGCCGCGGGAACATCTGTCCCAGTTTCTACGGTCGCCACTAGCTTTGCCATCCAAAGAAGGGATGCCGTTTGGTGCATTTTGATGGAGACCTGCAGTGAACAGGAAACAGGAACAGGAAATCGAGTAAACAAGCAACGGACTCTCCACAGGGCAGAAGAGCTCGTCACCGTGACCATCATCAACACCTGTCCACCAAAGAGCAACATCCTCAAGAAGCATTCCCACTGGACAATACTGGCGTGACTGGGTAGCAGATCGCTGACAAAGCCCACCCAACTGTACAACTGTCCAAGGCAGTGAATGTAAAGATACAAGCCTGGCCAACCAAATAGACCGCAGTATTCCCGTCAAAAGGGGTCTCCACAGGGGTACCCAGCACAAGATCGCCTCCCGTTGCTATTTTTGAACACTGGAGTTTGCGCAGTGCGCGTCTGCTCATGTCACTTATTCTTCTCCTTCTTGCTCAGCCTCAACCTCCCTCTTCGGGACCTGACGACATGGTGGTTTAACCGATAGCTTGACCAAGACATGCTTATTTTTCTCTTGCCTCTGCCTCTTTCCGTCATTGCCGATCACTTGCGTCTCTGCGCAGTCGGGAGCAAAAAGTCCAGACTATTCGTTACCTCGTACAGGGTACATTGTCGGTTTTGTTCACCACTGTCCACGTGATGCTGTGCTACCGTCTTAGAACCTCTGTGAAACATCACCAACATCGTCAAATTCACCTGGAGAGCTGTTCAGGCGGGGGCGGTCAAAAGAGGAGCAGATCAAAGCAAACTCCGAGACAGAGCGTTTTGACATCTGTCATTCCGATCCCGGGGGAAAAGGATGGCGAAAAGCCACGTCTGTCTTGCTCGGTAGCTCTATCCGAACAACTGTCTCCCCCAGCTGTTTAGACAGGTCCAGGCGCTCGATTGAGAAACTTGCGCACACGCCGTTCGTTTCCTTTTGCCCCCGCGCGGACTCTGTGTTCGTCACGTTTCCTTCCCAGGAGCAGAACCCCAATGCCTAGACGAACCAAGCAATTTGCCATGCCCGCGATATGCGTGGCCGCGTCAAGCACGTACTTTTAGTCTACCTACCTACTCTTAGGTCGCCCACGACATCGGAACGTCTCCACCGGGCTTAGAATCTCTAGGCCGCTCCATGCTTGCGTACCAAGACTCCCAAGACCGAGCTTCTTCATTATTAACGGCCAAGATAGATGCCAAATATCGCCTCCTGGTCCAGAACATCGTGAACACTGAACCCCATCCGAGGACCGAGGGAATAGGACATGACCGCGACGACACCACATCCAATCGCTTATGCCCCACGCTCTCGGCCTCTCCCTTTTCCTCTGAGCCTCACAAGGCGAAGACGAACACGCAAGTAATAAAAATGTCACCCTATTGACGAAAGCCCCCGGTCACAGGGGAATCCGGCACCTCGGCGCTCGACCGGGCACCATGCGCCCACATCCCTGCGCTCCGATTCGTAACGAGCCGCAAGGCAAAAAGGCATGAGATTCAGCACCTTATGTTGGTTAGCCTGGTGGGCTAGAATTCATCAAGAGAGCACAGAAACTCGTACGGCCCATTCCGAAGGGCGTACGTAACCTTGCCCTGCCACCAGTCTTCATCAAGACCATCCGTGGTTCGTTCACCGGGGGCCCAGGCTCGGGGCCTGTCAAGCGACGGGAAGGACGATATTAGGTACGGTACGGTATGGTGGGGGAGGAACCGTCACCCGAGAAAAGGGCTCGACTGTCAAAACTAAGCCACGCCGAGCGCAAAAACCCACGTCGGCCGCAGCCACACGAGCGACATGTCGTTCGTCTTTTGCCCATTTGTTGGACGAATTCGCCCAATGCCGTCAATGCCATTGTCAAGACTTCATTCTCCCCCTCTCGTCACGCGTGTACCCCCGAGGAAGGGCTCAGCCGCAGTTGATGCAACACTCAAGTCGTGGTCAATGCTCGGAATCTTCTTGAATTGATATCCTTTCTGTCTCTGAATCTTTTAATCTGCTTACTCAGTGACCACCACAAGCCATCTGCCCGTGCTCATCAGCTTGTTCGTTCATCGTGCCTTTGCGCTAACCAAACTTCTCCCCCCCGCGGTGTCTGCTAGAAGTGCTCTGACCTTACCCCATGTTCCGGCTCTAGTGGACTTACGAATGCTTCCTTTTCCCCCCATTTATTCAGGGTCCGGCGCGAATCCGGACTCGGAACCGGCCTGCGCCGCCTCCATGTCCTTGAGCGCCTTTTGGCCCTCCTCCGTTGTGGCGTCGATAATCTGCTCCTCCAGACTCAAAATGCCGGCCTGCATGTCACAACGTTGTTAGCGAACCGGCTCATCAAGCATCTTTACAGGAGAAGAAACACTCACGTCTCCAAGCTTGCCGACAATGTCCTCGGCCTCTTCAACCTTCATCTTGCCCAACACCTTGTTGACCTCATCTAGACTGCCGCTCTCTAGGGCCTTTTGGAAGTCGGCGCTGAAGGTCTCAAAGATATCCCGACCCTCCTTCACGGCGGGGTCCTCGCTGTCCTTGGGCGGAATCGTAATCTTGATCTCCGTGCCGGGCTCCACCGCGTGCAGCTGAATCTGCTCCACGCCCTCGGGCTCGCTGGCGCGCTCCTTGACAATCTCCCGTGCCCGGTTCCTGATCTTGCCGTACGTATCCTGCACGTCCTTGAAGAACACCTCTTGCGCCTGGTGGCCCTTTGTCGTGATGCGCTTGAAGAACATGCCCACGCCGTCCTTGCCCAGCGCTCTGCAGTACTGCAGCAGCAGCGCCTGGTGGACGCACTGCCGGCAAAAGTCGTCCTTGCTCTCGAGTGCGGCATCGAAGGCGAGGACCAGGAGGCCGTCCGTCTCCCGCTCCGTCAGGATCTGCGGGTTCTTGGACAGGTACTGGGCGCTGGATGTGTAGTCGTCGGCCTTGATCTGCGCAAACTTCTTGGCGGCGGGCGAGGCCTCAATCTCCTCATCGTCGTCATACGATTGGGTCGACTTGGCCGGTAGAGACTGTGTCATGTCAAAGTTGGGGTTCAGAAGCTCCGGCTTGCGCTGCTCCTCCTTCTTATCCGTATCCTTGGACTTGTTGACGTGCGAGCTGTCAAAGCCCGTGTGAATGCCCTCGCTCGTGATTTTGCGTCCCTCCTCCTTCTCCAGCTCGGCCAGCTTGGCAAACAGCTCCTTTTGCAGATTCTGCACCTTGGTCAGGTGTCCCTCGACGCCCTCGAGCATCGCCTTGTAACGGTTCTCGGGCTTCTTCTCGTCCAGCTCCTTGTTAACTTGGTCCAACAGCACGGCCATCATCTTGGAGAAGCTGGGCAGCGGCTCTGAGTCGGCGTGGATTCCCTCTGGGCGCGGGGGCGGCTGGTCGTCTTCGGGCTTGCCGGCGGACTCCATGACGGCTTGGAAGGCGACCTCGCCGGGGTTTCGGGTCTCGGCCTCGGAGGCATGGGACTTAAGGGCGTCCAAGAGGTTGGAGATGCGCTTCATCAGGCCATCGTTGATGATGCGCTCGTACTTGAGCGTCTCGATCTGGTGCTTGCGCTGCAGTCGCTCCTGGTGAATTTGGTTCTGCTTTGCGCGGATGAATGAGCGCTTATCGACGTTGGGGTGGACCTCGACATCCGAGTCGTCGCTGAGCTCCAGCGCGTCCTGTCGTATTTACATGTTAGCTACTGAGGTCGGCATCACAACGAGCATGGCTGTGAGAGAGTGGGTGATGTTGAACGCACCCATTTGCTGTAGTCGACAGGCATCTTGGCGAAATGGTTCAGCAATGTGATGCAGATGCGTGATTGACTCCAGCTGGTGTGGGCATCGGTTGTTGACTTTGAAAGCGATGTTGTTGAGTGGAATGTTCTGGATTTTGCTTGACAATAGGTGCGGGTTGACAGGAGCTCGGTGCAGAGCCAGCCAGTACGGTGCCACAGTGCATCACAGGTGCGGGGCATTACCCCGCCGCCGTATCGTTATCCCGGTAGCTGAGCTCAGCTATGGGATCAGCAGTAATAGTAGGTAGGAAGGCATCTCAACTCCTTCTTACATTCACTCTTTATGGAGATGGAAGGTGCCACATAACTTACTCAGAGGTACACAGTATATAACTTTTCCCAATTACAGACTGCCATCAATCAAGTAGTCATCATAACAATGACAATCTACTCTTCTCCTATATGGAGCTACAATCCATAACTGCTCCTAATAAGACAATACTTTGGCAGGATCAAACCCCTCCTTCGCAACTCTCCCAGACCCAACATACCCCCTCTGGTTGCTCACAATCCTAATGCCCTTCACCACCGTATCTGTCGAAAAGTGTGTGTGCCCAAACACCCAACAAATTACCCGAGCAGAATCCCCTACTTCCTCCAACACACCCGTCGCGAAAGCCGAAGACCAAGGGCTCCCTTCAAACCTAGGCTCCGACGTCCCCTCAAGCGAAGGCGCATGGTGAGTAGCAACAACAACCTCTCTCCCACGCGTCACCGCTTCCCGCATCTCCCTCTTCAACCAACCCAAGTCCGCCTTGTGAGCCGCGCAGTGTGCCCCAAGACTCCATCCCTCAATGTGCCGGAAATCCTTGACCCTTTCCACAACCGCACCTCCCGCCTCTTCAGGGACCATCGTCCATAGGGTGCATCCCAGGATGCTCACGTTGGAACCGGGGATATCAAACCCGCGGCGGTGGAGCATATGCAACCTTCCTCTCAACGACGGCTCTGCTTCAAGCCTTGCCGCCTCTGCGAGTGCCCCGCCGTACGTGAGGCCATGAAACTCGTGATTGCCAAGAACTAGTAAAACACCCTCGTACCGATCCGTCTGACGCCGGATGAACCCGAGATAGCTGTCGTATTCAGATAGACTACCGACATCGCCAGAAAGTAAGAGATAGGGTGCCGTGACGGGAAAGTCAAAGGTCGAGTAGTCTTTGCTGGCTTCGAGATGCAGATCCGAGAGGAATTGTACGAGGCCCGACGATCCCCCGTTCATGGCCATGGGCCCAGAGGCTTGTCTTTCTGGGCGAGACAGGACAACTGAGGGAGATCTTGCAGTACTGGTTTTGATCTGTCTTGCTGCCTGGCCACATTCACACTGTTGATGTGGAGGGCAGAGTACGCCATCCTATCACAAACTTCTCAGAACACGATTGCAGGTATTGTGTATTATCTAATCAGATCGTCTCCATTATCCAGCCAACAGAGAATCAGTGTTGACGTTGTTTGTTGCAGTCTACAGACCATCTCAGATAACAAGGAACGTCAAAGGCAGTCACAGTCACACGTCAGGAGCGTCAGCCATCCTTTGTGAGTCAAGGTCAGATGCAGTGAAAAGTTGAATCACGAATGGTCAAAATAGTGTAAATGCTCAGCTGGTTTCTTTCACCCCAACGTGCGTCGTCTGAGTCGTAAAAATTGCTAGTGTCATATAGTACAGGTGTTTCCGCGCACACGTTTCGTTATGAGTACACTACTGCGTGAGAGGTCTCAAGCCTCCCTATCGAAAAGGCATCCAACTCGCTCTTATCTAAACCAGATGCCAGGCTAAACTCCATACAAAGACCCTTGACGGGCTCCCTCCAACCTCCTGCTGATACGACCGTGGTCGGGGTATTATTACTGCATGGTCTTCAAGAAACCATCCAGATCGAAACTCTCCTCATACTGGCGATTATCCCATAGGTCGCCCAAATCATCAAGCCAAGCCTTCTTACCGGGTTGCTTGCCCGTGACGACATCTCCTGTTTCGATATCCACCATGTCTTCCTCTCTACCCTCCATCGAGTTTTGCGGCTTGTCTGATATGAGACTAGGTCCTGTGTCCCCGAGATTGAAGAGATCAAGAATTTGATCTGTATCCATCGTAGCCAGGCCCGCGTTCTGCTGATTGACCACAGTGGAAGCGACATCGATCTTGAAGCGTTGCAAGCTTAGAATTTTCTCTTCCAAAGTGCCTCTGGTCACCAGCCGGTATACGTTGACGACCTTCTTCTGACCGATACGATGAGCTCTGTCCATGGCCTGCATATCCTTTTGCGGGTTCCAGTCATGTTCAACGAAAATGACTGTGTCGGCACCCGTCAGATTGAGTCCCAAACCTCCGACACTGGTGGTCAGCAGCAAGACATCGTACGACGGGTCGCTGTTGAACTTGTTGACAATGTCCTGACGCTTGTTGGCTTCGACTCCACCATCTAGACGAAGGTGGGTGACGCCTGGCAGCATGGTCTTGAGCACCGTATTCTGGACCATGTCCAGCATCTCCTTCATTTGGCAGAAGATGAGGGCGCGATGAGGCTTGATTGGTTGATACAGGGGGTCATTCGACTCGGCTTCTTCCACACCGATGCCGCAATCGACAAGTAGGTCTCGCAAAGCGGTCAACTTGGGTGCATGAACCGGATCCTCGAGACTGGTGCCTTGCTTGTTAAGGATGCGCTGGGTCTCTTCGTACATGCCGTGTCCAGGCTTCATGACCATGGCTGGAGAGTTGCAGAGCTTTCGCATGTACTGCAGGGCCTGGAAGATGTGTGACTTGGCGTCCTTGTCCTCACGGCCGGCCTCTTCTTGTAGCTTCTTGCCTTGCTTTCTGGTGAAGTCATCAAACAGCTTCTTCTGAAGGTCGCTCAAGTCGCAGTAGTAGTTCTGCAAAATCTTGGGCGGGAGGTCATCTAGAACCTCCTCCTTGAGGCGTCGCAGAAGGAATGGCAGGACTTGCTTGTGGAGAGCCTCGATAGCCAGAGCACCCGCTTCTTGCTCCTTGGAAGATGCCTTACTGAAGCGACTTGCGGCGATGGGCTTGGCGAACCGGTCCAAGAAGACCTTCTCGGCACCAAGGAAGCCAGGCATCAAGAAGTCGAACAAGGACCAGAGCTCCAAAACATTGTTTTGAATAGGTGTTCCGGTCAGAATCAGTCGATGGTTGCTGGCCAATTTCTTGACGGAAATCGTAATCTTGGCCTTCGGATTCTTGATCAAGTGTCCCTCGTCCAAGATGACGTAATTCCAGTTGTACTTTGCAAGAACATCGGCGTCGTTTCGGCAGACATCGTAGCTGGTAACGACGATATCAGTCTTGTCCAGGTTATCCTTCATACTCTTTCTCTCGGCTGGCGGGCCAACGTAGGCAGTGACGCTCAAGAAGGGTGCGTAAGTCTTGATCTCCTGCTGCCAGTGGCCGGACAACGTAGGAGGGCAGACGACCAGAGATGGGAGACGGCGAACATCGGGTGCGCCTGTCTTTGCGTACTCTTCGGCGCGCTGGTGATGGTCGCTAGCAACCATGCAGATGGTTTGCAAGGTCTTTCCGAGACCCATGTCGTCGCAAAGAATGCCGTGCAAATGGTACTTGTTGAGGAAGTGAAGCCAATTGACACCATCTTGTTGGTATGAACGAAGTTCTGCCTTGATAGCGACGGGAATCGGGAACGATTCCACTTTCTTGGGGTCCAACAGTTGGGAAATGAATGTTCGTTCGCGGTCCCTGCCCTTGAGCAGCTCTTCAGAAAGTCCAGGAGGGTCTGGGATGCCTGCCTCCAGTGGCACGAGTTTGACGAGGGTTGCAAAAGACGTTGTCGCAATCAGACGGATTTCGTTATCTGAGTCGCTCATGCGGCCCAGAACGGGAACAATGAGGAAGATAACGTAAGGAAGAATGGCGTCGCCCATCACGGCAATCAAGTGGTAAATGGCTTCGATCGCACCTTGACGGAAGTTGAGGTCGATAGGGTTGCTGATGGATGGCAAGACGTTCTCGACAAGGGCTGTCATACCCTCGACTGTAATGACGCTGCAAATAGTAGCCATGCATTTCGCTGCCATGTAACGGAAGACAGAAAGCTCAGAATGCAAGGCTTTAATGACTAAAGGAACCTTCTCCATGATAAATGGATGCATGGCCTTGTCAAGAGTTGGCATGAGCGTCCGGATAAGGGACAAGGCATCGACGATTTCTTGGCCAAAGGTATTCTCGGGGTCCTTGGCCTCTGCCGGCAATGCGCCAGAAAATGCCTTGACAAGAGGATCCTCCATGAATACCCTAATAGTAGGCACGGCCGTGAGCAGCTCGGCGCCGTAGGTTTTGGAGAGGATCTCCAGCGCCTCCTTGGCGCCACGACGGGTGATGCGAGCAGCCTTGACTTCTTTTGCCCACTTGGCAGCGTCCGCATGATCGACTCGATCTTCTTCTTTCTGCATTGAAAGCACGCAATCTGTCTTGGTTGCGTGGACAGGGAACTCTGGAGTCTCGGCAACTTCCACGCAAGAGAATTTGATCAGGTTGGAAACAACCTTGTCGGCCGGTCCACGACGACCCATCTCGTTGAATACTTGCACAAGTCTCGCAATGGTCGCTGATGCCCGGCTCTGAAGCACTTGGTTGTCTTCTGTCTTGATGCTGTCCATGATACCCTTGATCAGTGGGCTGGGCTTCTTGGGCAGGGCCTTGATCGCAACCAATGCGCATGCTGCGCCTGCTTTGATGCGGACGTCTCGTGAGTCTTTGGCGGCCTTCGCGTCGGTAATCGCAGACACGGCAACTTCTCTGGCCTCGCTCAGCATCTGGCTGGCAACTAGACGCTGTCCTGGAGACATGGCCTTCTTAAGCTTGTCGAAATCCTCTCCGACAACCTTGTCTGCAACGGCAATGGAGAAGGCACCTGGACCTGCTTGCTCGTCGCCCTGAACTAGAACAGCCAGTGTCGGGAGCCGACCACTCGACACTTTGCCGTGGTCGCGGAACATGTTGAGAAGTTGTTGACACTGAGATCGCACCCGGTGCATGAAGCTGACTAGGTCGCCGTAGTGAGCAGGACGTTCAGTCTCAATAATTTTCTGAAGAGGCGCCGCGTATCTTGTTGCTCCTTCGGCAGGGCCGTTGGTAGCGTACTCGTCAATGACCATGCATGCTGAAAGCTGTGTGGACGAAGCTCGGTCTGAGATACCGGCGAGAAGGAGCTGGTCGTACTCGGCGAGGCTGGCAACCGGAATAAAGGACATGATCAGGCCCATGGCTCTGGCAGCTGATACTCTCGACCGAATCAAAGTATCCATGCCAACGAGGTCCACATCTCCCTGGATCATGTGCCCGTCGACGTCATGAGTATGAGAAGTGACTGGAACGTCATCCGTCTTAGCAGATTTGCGACGACGCTTGTTTGCTCTCTCGGGCCCGTCGGGAGATGAGGCCTTCCGGGCGGGTGTGGCGGCGACAGGTGCATACGTGCCGCCTGATGGCTTTTGGAATAGGTGGGCGGGCATGGGCAAGGGATGCCGGGACACACCGATAGGGTGTAGCGTGAGTCTCATCAGAGGCTCAACGTGAGCAGCGAACTCGTCGGCAAGAATCTCGGGTGTCTGTGAAAGTGAGCGAACCAAGGCTGTCCAAACGTCCAAAGACATTGCCAGTGTTTCTCTGTCCCTTTCAACCAAGACGTTTTGGAAGATGAGTCGTAAAATTCTTCCATTGAGCCAGCCTCGAGAGTTCTCAGCTCCCAAATTTGCGAATGTCATCAAAGCCTTCAGTACAGCTAAGCGAACGGAAGTAATGGTGTGTCGAAGGAAGGGGTACAGGCGTGGCACCAGCAAGGTGAAGGAACGCTCCTCGTCTTGTGCGGCGGACGTCTCCATGGCCTGCAGGACTTCGGGATAGCTGCAGAGTGTCGCAAGTAAATCCATGATCTTACCAGTGCTAGCACTGAGATCGTCACCAAGGTCGGCCAAACTGCCCCACATGATGTTGATGAGGCTATCGATAGACCCAGGTCGTAATGTGACGAACTCCTTGGTCATGGGGAGCAAAGTCGCAGCGCTCACTGCTCTGACGTCGTCGTCATGCTCCTCCAGGCCCTTCATGACTAGCCGAACAACGCCATCGATCATCTCACTGTCCTCCAACAGCAGGTCCTTCCTAACCGCAACGACGTATCTCAGTCCAACCATTCCACCGTGGCAAACAGACCACTGAAGCATGTCGAGCTGGAGATCATCCTGCATGACCATTTGATAGAGAATCTTGTAGATGCCATGAACAGATTCTGCCGGGATATGGCGAAGGACCGATCCGAGAGATTGACCGATAGTTTCGCGAA